TCTTTTTCTTTCCCAGGCTTGTGGTTTTTTTGAATTGCCACCACCCAAATGGAGTTGGATTTTGTTCTTTTTGTAGTAGATTTAACACACATTTTTCATGCCTATCTCCCGGATTTTCTATTATCATTCACAGGAATTAACTGTTGATATTTGCCTATATTCATCCACCCAAGTACCGTTTCCTCCTTTCCTCAGCAGTAGCTTATCTGCAGGCTCAAAGGAGTAATAGAAGTCACATTGAATGGGAAAACAGGGGAATGGAGCCCAGATCCTGCTGGAAGCAGCAAAGATATTTTTTTGCCATGGTCTGGCCTCAAGGACCAGCTTTGCAGAGCCTGAAGGAGGTAGAGATCAGAGAACAGGATGGAGAAGGTTCAGCTCTGGTTTAGACCTGTGCTCCAGCAAGAGCTGACAGTGTTCAGGTATCCAAGTTGTGTCACTCACACAAGCTGCTTCCTCCAGATTATTTAGTGTGAAATAAAGGTTTTAAACTTTAATTTCCAGATAACCTTCATAAAACAAGTGAAGTCTAAGCTTGGATCCAATCTTGGAAAGCATTTCTTTTTTTTAATGTTGGCAGAAATTACTGTCTGCTGGCAAGATTCTGTATCTGGGGGCAGAGGATATCTTCCTGTGTCTTGTGTAACTGTGTGAGGAAGGGCTTGCATGTGCAGATACCAGGACGCTCTTCACTGTTTCTTCATACTTTAGATTGAGTACTTTTTATACATGAAAAGTCTTTTAGAGGATTTTTGGGGCTGTGACAGTAGGCAGCAGATGCAGGAAGTCGTCTCCTGGCTGCTGGGCCTCATGCAGTTGATCCAGCTTATTTCTGCATCTTTTAGCAGCTAATTGTTCCAAAGTCACAAATTCAATTGTCCTGTGAGAGTTTGCTTTGGAACATCTTTCCTGAATAATCGTTGCTGATTTTTGCATATTATTTCTTAATCTAATTTAGCAAGGACAGGATGTTTTTAAGGATCAGGACAATAGTTACGCAGCTCCAGTGGCTTAATTTTCCTGTGTGGAAATCAGTGGCACATTCATTATGGGACTGGCACTGCTGTTTGTGCACACAGCAGTTAAGCTTAAAGCCCCCTTGTTTTTGGTATTTATTTGTTATTTGTTATTTCAGACTTTTGTGTTTTGTGTTCGGGGTACTTAGTATTTAGTTTGCATATTGCTTTTTGTTGTTTATGTATTACGTGTTACGAGTCCTGTGGTTTGTGTTTGGGATTTGGGACTTGTGTGCAGTGTGCCGGCTGGGTGGTAGGTAGCCATTAACCGTAAAAGGGGAAAGGAGAAGAGGCAAGTGGTTTCTGTTTTTGCTTGTTGCATTTGGCTTTTAGATTAGGCATTCTTTAACCTTTTGCGGTCTTTGGTCGTTGGTCTCTGCCATCCATGACGCGTGAGGAGGGTGGAGGGTCCTTGGGCCTTGGCTGGGCAGTGGTCAGGTGTCCCGTGTTCGTTGTTCGTTTTGTGCTTGGTGGGTGGGGGGAGCCTGCCGCGTTCCCCTTTCCTCTTTTGTCTTGTGGCTGGGTTTATCTTTTTTCTTTTTCTTGTTTCTTGTCCCTCATAAATGTCCTCTGTCTTTTGTTTCTTTTTCCGCTTTTTGTTTGTTCTGTGCTTCCTTCTTCCTTGTGGCTTGTGTTTGGGGTTTGCGGCTCCTGGTTCGTGCTGTGTGCTGTGTGCTCCGCGGTGAGCAGTGTGGCCTTTTGCTTTTTTTTCTCGTTTCTGGATGTTGCTTGTTCTTGGTTGTTTGTTTTTTGTTTTTCTTTTGGGTATTTGGCGTTTTTATTTTTTTTGCTCCTCTCAGGATTTCGTCTGTTGTTGGTTTTTGATGTTGGCAGCATCTTGCTTCTTGTTTCCCGTTTGTGGGTTTTTTTTTTTTTTTTTTTTTTTTCTGTTTTCCATTTTCTCTTGTATCCTGTCTAATTTTTGCTTTTTGCCTGATGTTTTGTTTTTTTTTTCTGTTTTTCTTGTATCTTCTCTGTGCTCTGTCTGGCATTTGGTTTTTGGTTTTTGTTTTTTCTTTCTGCCTTCCCCCTGCTGGTGCTTTTTGTTGTTCCTTTGCATGCTGTTTGTTCTTGCTTCGTGCAGGGTCCAGGGGGCTGATCTCTTGTGTTGTGTTGTGTTGTGCTCTCCTTTCTCATTGAGGGGCCTTTGGGCTTTGAGTTTAGTCTTTACTTTGGAGCTTTTATCTTTTGTGTTGTGTGTTTAATTTGTGATTGTTGCTGGTGTCTGTGCTTTTTTTGTGTTTTGCGGGAGTAGAGGTTTCCCGTCTCTTGGCCATTGGCCCGAGTGCCTTTTTCCTTTATACTGGAGTATGTTTTCAGTTTGCTGTTCTGTGTGCTGGTTTTTAGTTTTGTGACCCTTGAGGCTGGTTGTTTGTTCTTTGTTGTTGCTTGTTCCCTGGTTGCTGTCTGTTGTCGGTTGAAGGCGTGGTTTGTGTTTTGTCTGTTGCAGTTTCTAGTGTCTACGCCCTCCTTTCTCCTTTGTGGGACTTTTTGCTGTTTTTTCTCTTTTCCGTCTTCCGCATTTCGCCGTTGGTGATGTGTGTGCTCTTTTTTGGTGTTTGTTGGGTGTTGATTTATGATTTCTGATGTGAGGGCTGGCGTGTGGCGTGTTGCGTCGTTGTGCTTTTTTATTTTTTAGGTCTGTGGGTGGTTTTTGGCTTTCGGGTTGCTGGAACTTTGACTTCTGTCTTTAGTCTTTAGCTTTTGGGTGTTTTTATGGTTTATGGTTGGGAGTTGGTTTTGGATTTGAGATTTGTGCTTTGTCGCGTGCTGACTGGTTTGTTGTTTGTTCAACCATCTTTCTTCTTTCTTCCTTGTTCTGTGCTATTACATTTTATAGTTCGTGTTTAGTGTTTCGTCAGTCATCCGTTGTAGTGTTAATTGCTCTTCGGGTTTCAGGTGTTGCTTTCTTGTTTCTTTTTGCAGTGTATGGGCTGTGGGCTGATGACTTATTTGTTAATTTTCCTGTTTCCTTTTCACATGGCTTTTGGCTTTGAATTTAGAATTTTATGTCATTTGTTGGTGGTTGGTCATAAGTCAGTGGGTGGTGCGTGTGCAGTCTGTAGTCGTTGGTATTGGGGTTGGGGTTAGAGCTTATCATTTGTCATATTGCTTTTTGTTATGTCTCACGTGGCGAGTGCTGCGTGCTTCTTTTTTGTTTTTTTCTTCTGTCTTTCTTTTTTTTTTTTGTACTTTTCCCTGTTACATTGCTGATTCGTTGGAGGCTGTTGGAGATTTTACCCGTTACCCGAGACATATTATTTCTTCTTTCCCCCAGTAACTGCTACATGAGTCTCTTATGTCTTTGGTAGATGGGCGTTCTGCGTGCTGAGGGGTACTGGTGGGTGTTAGGCGTGTATCTAGTGTGTGCTGGGAGGTTGTCTGGTGTGTGATTTGTGTTTTGATTTTTGATGGTCTATTCAGTATTACTGAGAAGTGATCAGTTTTTGTTTTGTGTAGAGAAGAGGTGCGAGGTTGCACATTGACCTTTCACATTTATGGATGTTGGTGCTTGTTTAGTTTGTTGTTGCTTTTCTTTTTTGTTTCTGGGCTTACAGCTTGAAGGTGGGGTGTTGGGTGGTGAGAATTTAGTATGTTTTTTGTTTTTTTTTTTTTTTTGTTTCCTGTTTCCTGTCTGATATCTGATTGTTTGGTATTTGGTCCATTGTTCAGTCCTTCGTCTATCATATAGCATTTTACATTTTATATTTCATCTTTCGGCTTATGCTTTCTGCTTTTTGGTTTTTTGTAGTTTCTTGTTTCTTGTGCCTTGTAACATGTGCTCTCTTTTCTTGTTTTTTGGTATTTTCAGTTGTCTGGTTTCTTGTTTCTTGGTGTCCGGTTTCATACTGGGTATTGTGTTTTTTTGTTTTGTGCTTGCGTGTTGAGTGTTTTGCGTGTTGCTGTTGGTTGTTCTTGGTGCTGAGTACTGGGTCTTATCCTTTGTCCTGTGTTGGGGTTTTCGATGTTCTTGCTGTTTTGTTTTTTGTTTTTTTCTTTTGTCCTGTGTTTGGGTTTTTTGTTGTTTTTAATGATTAGCTTTTGTTTTTTGTTTGCATTAAGTTTTTGTTTTCTGTTCTACCTGATTGTTGTGTGTTATTTAGCATTTGGTCTTTTCTTTCCTTTTCCATTCTCCGGGGGGGTGGGTTGTCGGTTTGTTTGTTTTTTTTGTTTTTTTGTTCCATTTTCTCTTTCTTCTTTTTTAATTTTGTTTTTGGTTTTAGGGCTGAGGTGTTGTGTGTTTTTTCTGTGTTTGTGTTTTGTCTTGCATTTAGTTTTTATTTTGCTTTTAGTTCTTTTTTGTTTTCTGTTCTGTTTTGATTTTTGCTTTTGTCATTTGTTCTTTTTTCTGTTTCTATATGATATATTGGGTTTTGGTTTTTTGTTTTTTTGTAATGTATAACAGATGTTCGGTGTTCAGTGTTCTTTGGTTTTCAGTTTTCAGTTTGGATGTGTGTTTTTTTTTTTTCTTTTTTGCTTGCTTGTGTGTTTTCTGTTTGCCATTCCGCATTCCGCCCTTGTCTTTTGTTTTTGAGTCTGGTCACCGTTTCATCTTTCATTGTGTTTTTTGTTTGTGTTCAGGGTTGAGGCTATCTCTGCTTTTTTTCTTTTTTCTTCTTTTTCTTTTTTATTTTCTGGGTTCTGCCGGTTTGGGTTTTGGTTGTACTTTTTTTTTTTCTTGTTGTTGTATATTTTGTCTCTTGTCGCCTGTCCCACATGTGATGGGTGTTGATTCTCCATACTTGGTGTCTTTCGTCTTTCGTCCGTTGTCCGTTCTGCGTGTTGCTGGTGGCTTTGCTCTTTCCTCTGGGCTCTAGGTTGTTCTTTTGTTTTGTGGTATGTGGCTGTGGGCTTTGTTCTTTCTTTTGGACTTCTGTCTTTTGTATTTTGAGATTGAAGGTAAGCGGGAAGCGTTTAGAATGGAGAAATTAGGGTGGTATTTTGACAGAGGCTGAATTTTTATTGTGTATTTTTATCGCAATAAAACATGCCTAGCTGGAAGGTTTTCAGTGAGAAGGGAGAATTGGCAACCTACATCATTCCCTGTTTCCCACAGTGATGCACCTCTCACATGCCCACATCACTGTGCAGCAGTAGGATGAGGTACAGTGGACTCTAAGTCACCCGAAATTTCAGATGGACACTAGGAACACAATTCTGCTTGCAAGGACGTTGAGACATTGCAGCAGGAACCAAGAAAGGTTCTGTGATCTCTAAGGGTGAAGATCTTGTCTGGACAAGGCTCTGAGCAGCAAGTTCTAAGTCAGCTCTGTGAGTGGAGGGTTTTTTGGAGTGATCACTTCCAAATTAAATTATATTTTGCAATCCAAAGTAATCAAATGTATTTTTATTGGAGAATTCTCCATACTGTATAGAAATGTATTGCAACGCATTTGCACAAAGCCTTTTGGAATGACCTTGTACTTTTGTTTTGTATTATTAACCTGTCTCCCACCTACAGCAAAACCAGATTACACACTAATGTGCTGCACTGTTCACTCTGTGTTTAATTATTCCAGGCTGCTGCCAGACATCAGTGTTCCTACCTAATAAATATGCACGTTGATGAGTTTCTGAAGACTGGCGGGATTGCAGAGTGGCTGAATGGTTTAGAATACATTCCCCAAAGACTGAAAAACCTGAATGAAATAAACAAACTTCTTGCACACCGTCCCTGGCTGATCACAAAAGAGCACATCCAGGTACCTCTTCAGTCATGCCCTGTAAATACCAGTAAATGGCTGGTAAAAGAACTGTGTAAATGCCTGGTTAGGCTTCATTACCCTGTGTTTCAAAGATCAGGGAAGTACTAGTGCACAGAACAAGCTGATTCTCCTTTGTGACAAAGCCAGTAAGATTTTCTTCTTAGGAATACCATTGGCTAAAATAGCCCAAAAGAAAAGAAGTAATATATTAGGTGTCTCTTTTTTTATCCAGTGATAGTTTGTGTGCAAGGGGAATGTGGTATTATTGGAAGAAAGAATTGATCCCTTTTTGAAATGTGTAGTGTTTTATAGAAACGCTGGGGGCCAAAAGAAATTTTATATTTATACTTTTTTTATTCTCATTTCAGAAACTTGTCAAGACTGGGGAAAATAATTGGTCTCTTCCTGAACTGGTGCATGCTGTTGTCCTGTTGGCACATTATCATGCCTTGGCAAGTTTTGTATTTGGTAGTGGCATTAATCCAGAGAGAGATCCGGATACATCTAATGGAGTCAGACTTATAGCAGTCAACAACTTCTGTGTCTGTGATCTTGCCAATGACAACAACATAGAAAATGCATCCCTCACAAGTAGCAACTTCGGGGTTAGTGTTGCAAGAAAATTCCTTTGCTTGCCTCTGTTTTGCATTAGAAAACTTTCTTCCATTCTTTCTGTTTTAAATTTTAGTTTTAAATTTTTTTTGTCTACTTTACAGGAATACTTGAGTCTGGTAATTCTTACATGCACTCTGACAATTTCCAGTGTAATCTGTTGAAAACCTCACTGTAACAGTGAATGGTAGTCAGAGCAATGTGATTTTGGTAGCTAATCCCACTACCCATCGAGCAAGACTAAAACTTTGCTTGCAGCAGAAAGCTTGAAGTCCTAATTTCTTTAGACAGCATGGCATTGCCTGGAGCATTGTTCCATCCCTGTTCCTAACATCAGGAGTGAAAAGAGAAATGGAAAAAAAATAGAAGTAATAGTAGTAGTAGTAATAATAATTATAATAATTTTTACTTCAAGGCCTACAGTCATGAAACACTTTGAAAGACTTCCATGTAGGTGGGAGGAAATGTCTGAAATAAAATTATTTAATTCTTCATGCTGGTATTCCAGTCTTGAATCAACAAAGAACTCTGATTACCAATTAATTAACTTGATTAATTTGATTACTCATTAATTAACTGGACATTTTTTCCTGAAAGGTGCTCTAGAATGCTTTTGAAGACACACCCTTGAATTAATGCCGACAGATGAATTAGCCTCATTGCTTTGATGGAAGATCAGGATTATGAGCAGAGTTGCTAGATACAATTTTTACAATTAGCAGTAGAATATAAGCATGTCATCCCTCAGTCCAATCACTGTGTCTAAAATTTCTGGGCTGTAAAACATGCCAGCTCATGTCATGGAGGTGCCTTACTCCCCATTCGTAGTGGGCAGAGCATTGCTGCTGACTGTGCTTATTGCTAAGCAGTGAGGAGTCTGCTAGAAACAGCTGTAACTGGGCAGAAGAACAGACTCAAAAAGATGGAAAAGAAAAACCAAATAATTTATCTTATGAAAAAATCTGAATGATAGGTGCAGGGCACCCGAAGCTTTGACATATTTCTAGTGAGAAGAGGTCTTTCTTCCTGACAAAAGTAAGAAAAAGGGTCAACATAGTGGCTATTTTGGTCATGCATAGTGAAAGAAAAGTCCTGATTTTCGATCTCAGGTTGTGTTTCTATAAGGCAGTGTTGCACTGCAACTCTTCAGCAGCATATTTTGCATTACCAATGGACTGAATATAGTTACCTTTGTATGAAAAGTTGTTTTATGAGAGATGTAGGGATCAGATGGATTTTCCTGAGCTATCTGTGTTGTGGAATATGAGTGACTTTGGTTTCCACACTCAAACACCACCTCTACACTGTTAATCTCACTGCAGTAAATTAATGCAGCAGGCTACACTTCCCAGCTCCAGTCTTCCTGCTGTCTGAAAGCTGTTTATCTGCACTGGCAAAATGTGGCAAAATGCATTCTGGCTTGAGGCTTTGTGTTTGCTGCTGCTGTCTGGTTTTGAGAACGTTTGTTGTCAAGCATGAAATCTGAAGATGACACACGTTGTCTATCTTCTAATTTTGCAGAATGTCATGGTGTTTTTGCAGATTGCAGATTCTTTAAGTGAGCTGGAGGCCCTGATGGAAAGGATGAAGAGACTACAAGAAGATAAAGAGGATGAAGAAGCCTCTCAAGAAGAAATGGCAACTCGCTTTGAGAAGGAGAAGAAGGAGAGTCTGCTAGTGATTAGTGGAGGTATTTGTGCTTTTCTGGTTCAATTTTGTTTGTGCTTTTTAAGAAATAAATGCTTGAGGCTAGTTCAGTGACTGAAACTTTTTCTGTCCATTTTTTTATTCTGGCTCTTCATGTAGGAGGAGTGTAGTAGGGTGATCTCACCTTTTGATTCATCACCTTAGGATTTCTTGATTGACAAATAACATCATCCTTTCTACTAGTTGACATTTAGCTTTTGGTATATTTAAAAAAAAGGCCTGTAGGCTTCCCTAAAAAGTAGGGAAAAGTAGGATGTACATTTCTCTTTCTTTGTATGTTCTGTATCATCAAAAAATTAGTTTATTAATTATAATTAGTAATAAATATTCAGTAATATCTCACAGGTGTAGGTTCTGTGGTGCTTAGAACTTCAATCACACTCATAAGTAGCTTTCAGATATGACATTTAGTTTAGGAATTAGATGATGAGACTCAACTACTTTACCATTTACTGCCCACCTGGAAAGGACATTTCCATCTTGCTGCTCTGAGTGATCATACTACTATGTTGTTTCACTGCCTATCTTGTGATAGAGATTGATAGCATCTTTTTATTCTTAAATGATTTTCCAAATTTTGAGCTGAAACCTTCTTTTCCCATATTCTTTGTATGCTCTGGAGGCGTTAATCTCTAACAAACTACAGAACGAAGTCTGCTTCATACAGACACAAATGTGTTTTTTTTCCTAAAGAAAGTGTTAGAAGAAAGAATATTATTAAGACAATCAGAATCTCTAGCTATTCCCTCATAGTAGAAGCTACTTGAAGATGACTGCTTGTGTCTTTTTAAAAAGTGGCCACTAAAATGCTTCACTTCTTACTGCACTGTGAATTTAGGTCTCTGCAGCTTCAGACCAAAATGTGTTTGAAAGAATCAATAGGTTAGTGCAAAGAGCCCAAAAGGGAGGAAGAATGTACTGAGGATCAGCAGAGAGATTGTTTTGTTGCTCTCTAGGAACATGGAAAAATCTCTGAAAGAAGATACATCCAGGAACAAGCTGGATTTTTTTTAAATAGACATCGTAAATTCTTGCTGTATTTTCCTCTGGCCAGGCAGTATCAGCAGTGCAGATAAACGGACACTCATTGCAGTTTCATTATCAAATCAGGACGTCCGTGAGTCTGTGCAACTCCAGGTATTTAAGGAAAAGGGGTCATTCAAACAGGAGGGATTTTTGGATGGGGTTGCTGATAGTTATGTTGACTTTCTTCCCTCTTTACTATTTGTTGATTTCAGTTGAGGAGTCTATGTGTTTTGGGTCTTTACCATTTCATGAAATCCAGTCCTCCTCTGGGCAGAGGAGTGTATGTGTACAGGTTTTTTATTCTTCACTGAGAATTTACTGTAGCAGATGTTGTCCAAGCTTCTTCCTACACAGTTATGTTTTGATTGTGTAATGAGGCAAAGAGGAGATAAAGCACTTCTGCAATTCTTAGATTAACTGACTTTTCAAGGTGCTAACAGTGGACATATGGCAACTGTTCTGTCAATGCTTGTGGAAGTGAGCCATGATTTTAACATCAGGGTCAAATGCAGTCAGCTATGCAGCAGTCAACTTGTGCAGAGGTAGTTACACAATCCAGCCACCTGTTTATTCGGGAGGGAAAGATTGATTCCTGATAGAGAGCCTGCGTGTGCTTAGCGATATGTTTTGGAGCTCTTTGAAGATGCTTAGTTACTACAGCTTCTGGCAGAATTTCACCCTGATGTACTGTAGAGCTCTTTGCTTGCATATAATCTTCAGCTGATATTTACCAATGGAGTGTTGTGTTGCTTTCTGGTGCTCATACTCCAGCTTACAGAACAGAGCCAGCGTGATTCCTGACACAAAGGCTGCTCTGTACAACAATCCTGCTGTCAAGGATCCATTTTTTTGTTCTTTATGTTAACATGGTGACTTTGCTAATGATATTCATCTTCCTGACTTAAAAAACTAGCCTCCCTCAGAAGTCAACAGAGAGAAAAGGAAACCTCCAGACAGAAGTGTAGCCCATCACTTCTCTTTTTGTAAAAGTACATTAGATGTCTTGTATAGGCTGACATTTAATGGGCTCAATGAAAACAATGTATCCCATACAAGCAGATGAGAATTGAAATGTTTCTTTCCTTTGTACCACTTTTCCTTTGCATAACTTCTAAAATTGTCCTCTAGTCCTGCAGTAGAGTGGTAGTTGGAAGTCAGCATTAACTCATGTTCTTGCCTAAAGCAAAGCATTTTGCTGTTTTATTCCCAGCATTTGATGATGAAATAGTTTCTACAGATGTCTCCCGTTATGTTGAAGATCCTGGGTTTGGGTACAAAGACTTTGCAAGGCGAGGAGAAGACCATCTGCCAACATTCAGAGCTCAGGTACCATCTCTTTAAAGCACATTCACTCAAAGAATGTTTATATATCTCACTACAGAGCACAAAGTGGTTAGAGTGGGGCATGTTTTCTTTAAATTCATTAAATAACTCACGACCTTGCATAAATCACCCTGAGATGGAGTCTTTCACTATTTGTCAATCTCTGGAAAGGCAATGCTTGGCTTTCCATCTGACTTCAGTTATTATTAGTATTGATGTTTGAAAATTGTAAAGCATATCTGAAATAAAAGGTAAAGGTAGAAGAGCAAGAATTTCTTTCCCATCCCTCCAGATATTGTAGAAAAAAATCCACTGGAGCAACTCTTTATTCCTGTCATTTTTCCAAGTACTCTATGTCCAGTGGCTACCAATACCTGGATACATACAGGTCTGTGAGAGTGATTTGGGGAGTATTGTTCTCATATGCCCACCAAATCTCTGGACTTGGAATGCTGTGAAAGAAAAGGAATTCCTAAATACGATTACTGAAGTTTTTGCTGTATTTTAATACATTTTTCTCAGTGCTGTTGGAAGAACAGAATATACATTTTACCGGTACATTGTCTTATATATTGACATCCTTTGCCATGACCAGAATCATGAACTTCATATTATATGTAACAGGAGGGACATTCTAGATGGTTCAGTTCTATCTTACAGAGCACATTCATAAGCAGTCTAGAAGTAAATGGAAAGCAATGGAAGAAATCTTCAACCAAATCAGAGAACTTCAATTAAAATGACAGTGAGTGCAGAAACACTCAGTGGTCAGAAAGATGTATCTGAGACTGTAAAATATGGAATCCACAGTCGACCTCAGGAAATGTATTTAGCTGTATAGCAGTCTCTGCTGAACTGGATAATTTATTCTGTGGTCTTTATATGAGCCTGAAGTAGGTTATTACTGCCAAAAAGAATAAGGCATAGTCAGTGCCTATAAATCAAACAATCTGCCTAACTACTTTAGGAGCAGCAGGCTCACTTGGAAAAAAGTTCCAAAGAAGTTGAAATTGGAACTGAGACATCTCTGCTCTTAAATAAATAGGACAGCTTCTGGCTTAAATTCAAAGGACTCACCTTGATAATTTAATTATGTCCTACTCTTAACAGTTGGATGTATATACCCACAGCCTCCAAAATCTCATCTATTAATGATACTTAAATTGCAGTAACATCCCAAATACTTGCAATAAGTCTAATCCTTACTCTGATGAAACAAAATTGCCTTTGTCTCTATGGTTTTAAATTTATTAATAGAAAAAAGGTATTCTATACCCAGCAGAATGTCTTTAGGCTTGTCTTTGGGGGGCAGGTTTCACTGATAATAGGGATCAATTGCAGTTTGTCAACAACACTTTCCCCTCTCTGGGCCTTCTGGCTCTCAGAGGCTTTTGTGATGTCCTGGATACCTTTCCAGGGCTGTATGGGTTTGGCATATTTCTCACAAGCCTTACAGTCCTTTGTACTGGCAGCCAGAGGCCAAACGTGATGTTGTGACATGTTTTGGATGTCACTGATGCCTCCGTGAGGCAATGGAGCACTGTTCTGCTCTTCCCTGCTGTCCTACTCAGGGGGACAGCACAGCAGACCTGCTTCAAGGTGCCCAGGTGAGGATCCCGGCCTGGCAGTGCCTTTGGAAAACAGCCAGAAACAGGAAGGACATGGAGATGATGCCTCAATTGTAAAGATGCCATCAGTGATGGGATGATAGAGCACTTGACAAGGATGTGGGCACACTCTCACTTTCCGTGTGATGGCAGTGTGAAGCGCCCTTGCTCCCTGCTCTGGAGCAGGATGGTTCTTCCTGCTGTGCCACCACTCTGCAAAGATTTCCCATTCCTCATATGAGCTGATAGGCTTTTATCTTGCAGTCCAGGTGCTCATCTAAGACCAAAGCAGCCTGGATTTTATCAGTTTTTTCAGGGATGGTTCAGCACTTTACCCAATGATTGCACATTGTGGCTGGAAGTAAAGACCCCATCTCTGCTTGGAGCTAAGCACCAAAGCCTCTAAGAAGAGCAAGTTTTTAAACTTAAAGGCCAATCCCACATGGAATGATAGTGGTCAGAGTGGCAAAGCAGAAGATTCCCTAAGCAATTCAGGAGAAGCTTGGGTTTTTTTTCTCCTGTAGGCTAATGATATCCAGGGTTGGGGTGTCACAACATGATATTCATTGCCAAGAATTCTGAGGGAATGGAGCAGGTGATGTGGATGAAGGATTCAAAATGCAAACCTTTGGAAGAGAATAAAGTCATAACTATCAGACAACAAAAACTGTTGAGTTGTAGAGAAGATGACATAGGGAATTCACTACATGTGTGCATTTATTTATTTTCTTCTCTTCCTGCAGGACTATACTTGGGAAAATCATGGCTTTTCCCTTGTAAACAGGCTTTATTCTGATATTGGGCATCTCCTGGATGAGAAGTTTCGGATGGTGTATAACCTCACATATAACACTATGGCAACACATGAAGATGTTGATACAACTACGCTAAGAAGAGCTTTATTTAACTATGTCCACTGTATGTATGGAATCAGGTATGGACAGAAATTCCCTAGCTTAGGAGTACATTTTAAAACTATGTAAACAGAAAAATAAACCATGTGTAAAGCATCATTTTAGACTGAGTGTTTAAAGTGGAGATATCTGGAAGTTAGTGGTTTTGCTGGCATATCAGTATAATTTTTCCTTCCAGTGCAGAAAATGAATCTGGATGGAAGTTTTTACAGAAATGTGTTCTCTGAAGCCAGCCTGTATCCTTCATTCAGGAAAGACAGCATCCCTAGGCTGAGCATCACTAAGTTGGGCAGGAGTGTTGATTTGCTGGAAGGAGGTAGGAAGGAGCCTTACAAAGGGCTCTGGGTAGGCTGGATCAGTGAGCCAAGGCCAATTATATGAGGTTCAGTGATGCCAAGTGTCAAGTCCTGCACTTGGGCCACAACAACCCCAGGCAGCACTGCAGACTGGGGACAGTGGCTAAGAAGCTGCTCAGTGAAAAAGGACCTGGGGGTGCTGGACAACAGCAGCTGAACATGATGCAGGGTGTGCCCAGGTGGCCAAGAAGGCCAATGGCACCCTGGCCTGGATCAGCAATGGTGTGGCCAGCAGGAGCAGGGCAGGGATTGTCCCCCTGTACTGGGCACTGCTGAGGCCACAGCTCCAATCCTGTGTTCAGTTCTGGGCCCCTCACTACAGGAAAGACATGGAGGGGCTGGAGCATGTCCAGAGAAGAGCATTAATGCTGGGGAAGAGTCTGGAACACAAGTCCTAAGACGAGCAGCTGAGGGACCTGGGGATTTTTAGTCTCAAGGCTCAGGGGGCATCTTACCACTGTCTTCAACAACCTGAGATGAGACTGTAGCCAGGTGGGGGTCAGCCTCTTCTCCCAGATAACACGTGGCTTCAAGTAGCACCAGGGGTGATTTAGTTTGGATATTAGGGAAAATTTATTCGCATAAAGATTTTTAAAGCATTGGAACAGCCCACAGAGGAGGGAGAGCAACCATCCCTGGAAGTGGATAAATGGTGGATAGGGCACATGGTTTAATGGTGAGCATGGTGGTGGTTTAGGGTTAACCATTGGATTCAATGATCTTAAAGGTCTTTTCCAACCTTAACAATTCTGTGATCCTACTAAGCCTTTCAGATCCTTTCTTAACACGTGTCTTTTGGTCATGTGTGATAAATGTTCCAGTTCTCAGGCTTAAGAACATAATGCTGCAAAAGACAATGCTTTTAGGAACTTATGGCAAACAGAATGATTGCTTGTGTTACGTAGGTATGATGACTATGATTATGGAGAAGTTAATCAGCTACTTGAACGCAGCCTGAAGGTTTACATAAAGACAGTGACCTGCTACCCAGAGAGAACTACCAAGCGCATGTACGATAGCTACTGGCGTCAGTTCAAGCACTCAGAGAAGGTATGTGTTCCAAAGCCAAAGGGCCTTCACAGAGACCCCTGTGCTGTTTGAAAACTAAAATGTGGGGACACCTGAAATGGCAGCATCTGACAAATGAACTGTTTTAAATCAGAGAAAAACAAATGAGAATCATTCCTTGAGTGTTAGATACTGGTTTGGCAAATATACTTCTTAGTGTGTTGGCAATACTTTTTTATTATTATTATTATTATTGTTGTTGTTGTTGTTGTTGTTACTTGTTATTATTATTAATAGTCACTTCTCCATAAAATTGAATGGAAAACTGTAAAAGAAAAGTGGATAAACTTGAGAATGCAAAAGTGGTCAACTATGCCAATACTTGGCGATTTGGAGATCAAGGATACTTAAACTCATATATATATATATATATACATATATATATATATATATACACTTTATGGTGTTTTTCAGCAATAAAAATGTCAACATGCCTTCAGATATCACATTAAATGCTTCCTGAGAAGGGTTCAGTGCATGTGTGCCTGCTAGCCTATCTGTCATGGAAACTGGTCCTTATTCTGTGCTCCTATATAATGGTGACAGGTAGTAGTAAAGAAAACCAATATGATTTAGAAAGAACTAATGCCATTGGGGTACAAAAAAAGGTTTAAAAGTGGCTTCTCAAAAGGAAGATTGCTTAAAGCAGCAGTTGAGACTGGTTCCTTCAATCCTGGGATGTTGTCCATATTGGTATTACTACACAGCTGTCTAGAGGAGCTGTAGTCCTGCAGCAGGGTACAGGGAGAAGAGACAAAGTTTTCTTGCAGCAATACTTTACTAAAGGTTAGAAATTTGAGCCTGGATGACTAAACCATGTTGCATTCAGAGGTGAGCTAAATGGCCAATGTAATTTTTTTCAGGTTCACGTCAATCTACTTCTGATGGAAGCTCGGATGCAAGCCGAACTTCTGTATGCCCTTCGTGCCATAACTCGTCACTTAACCTGAAGCACTCGCTGGCCAGGAGTACAGGGGCTTTTACTGAGTATGTAAAGACCTTTTGAAATAGATACACACCAGAAGCTGTTTGTGATGTAGCATCAGGTTATTCAATTCTCTAGTGTCAAAGTTTAGCCGTGCTTCTTGGCGGCTGTAATGTGCAATGACGTGTTTTATTTTCTTGATGCTTAACATTACTAATGATAACAAAAGTAACACTGAGGAGCGCTACTCTGCATTGTTTCCGGCTGGATTTCTGCACAGCGGTCAGGATCCTGAAACTGGTTTTATTGTATCCAATCCTAGCGCTTTGTTCTTTAAGCACCAGAGTGAAGTGCTTAGAGACTTCTTTTTCCAAGCAATCATTTTTCAGATGAGTGGAGTCCAGCAGAAGATCAGTTCTGCCTGTCCTGAGAAGGTCCCACCACGTCGTGACTCGCAGCAGAGACGCGCGGGCTGCGCTGCATCGAATTGCCCACTGGATTCTCCTGTGTGTCCTGGAGACTGCTGCCAGTCACTGTCTTACTACAGCAATTGGAGGTGATGCAAGATGTGGATGCAAACATCGAGCACACTTTAATGTGAAATTAGTCTTGATAAATCCTACAGCATGCTACTGAAGTGCAAAATTCATCCGCTTTGTCGTGCCCCTTCACAAAGAGAAGAGGCCTCACGATTTGCCATTTCAGCCACACTTACTGTGTTTCAATCATGCATAGTCTTGTTTTACTGACAGTCACCCTCAGTTGTCCTGACAATATCCATGCTCATCACGTGTTGCAATTTGTTTAGTTGGCACCTATAAAATTAACACACAGGCTGACCAAAAATAGGGTTGTGGGGTTTTTTGCACTCTCTTCTTTATCAATGTTTTAACTGAGGAAAGTAAAGGAAGGCTAGTATATCTATTCTTTCATATTGGATGTATAGAAATTATTTCCCATAACTTTTTCATAGCATGAAATTGTAATATTCAAAGTTTTAAAAGTTTCTATGCATTAGTGTGAATGAACAAAAGAAAAGTGCAATATCTAAAAAGAAAGCAAGCTTTTTTCCCTGACATGCCACTGCTAAAGTGTCCTTCTTATATAGCCATAAAGAAATTTTAAAACCAAATTTCTTTATTGTCTAAGGCCTAGCAGTTTTGTTTTAGCTTTTACGGCTTAAGACAACCTGATACTGAGATGCCAAAGCATCCCCAAAACAAAGCATTTTTGGACAACCAGGAATATTGGGGAAGGGAAGAAATAAGCTGCCAAAAATGTCACACTTTTGTGCTGTTTTCTGTTGCTTTTGACTAATTTTTGAGAGCACAAAATGTTGATATTTATAGCTTTATTTTGTATTGCATTTAATGAACCAGTGAAGTGCCTAAAGAGATGCTTAAACTTACCCAGTAGAACACAAGTTAACTGCTTCAACTTTCGTCTGTTGGTTTGGACTTTCATGTTTCTTTTGAGGAGGGTGACCTTTATTTCTGTGGTATACATTCAAAACTAACTGGACAGGTTTATTTTTAATGTTCTGTTGGATTGTAGAAGTTAATGCAGGACTTTTTTTCATTGGTGATTGCAGAATCTTTAGAAAAAAATACTACCAGTCATATTTTGACACTTTTCATTTACAAAACCATGGACCAGTACTTTACTAAAGTTAGTTTTCTCTCTTCTTACCTTTTCCTGATCCTTGCTTTGACTTTGCATGTTGGTTTTTCTGCTTTATCTGTCCGTTCCAGATTGGAAAGCCCAATGATTGTACACTTTTCTGCACTTTCAGACTGCAGACTCTGCATGTGAAAACCTTTTGAGGAAGAAATCAGTAATTATTTTTTTTAAGTGTCATGTTAGCTATTTAGAAAACTACCCAACAGACAGCACTGATCTGTCTTCAAGAGAGCTTTGGGTAGAATATCAGATTTATTTATCTTGTATAGCTACCTGCAAAGATTTCTCAGAAATACTGAGATGCTCATATGTGTGAACTTAGATTTGCTTTCTAAATTGTTATGATCCTTTTTCCCCCCACTCTTGTGATTGTAGCAGCCAGACCTAATGGCTTCTGCTGAGAGAAGTTTTCATGCAATACTTTTGGTTTTTTTCAAGTGATTGGAACTGTTTGGTACTACTTTAAATTTCTTTGCATTGAAAAGTCAAGTAGTTCTCAAGAAGCACAGTTGAGCTCTGGAAAGGAGGTGAAACTAGATTTGGGTAACTAATATGATGGCTTCGTTTCCCCTCAGAAATGCAAAGACTTCTGGAGTAGGTTGATTTTTACATTTGGAAACATGAGTGCCTTTACTTCTTTCCTTATGAAATATACTTGCCAGCTCAAATGCCTTCGTGAGCAAAGTACATGAGCAGATTTGAAATACAGAAACCATAAATGGATTGCTTCATAAAACTTGTAGTAAACCAGTGTTTTGTTTTGGATTTTTTAGTGCCATATCAAGTCCCATATGGCCTGCAAGACATTCCATCATAGGAAATGTCATTGTACAACTAGTTTGCTATTTCTCTTTTTTTCTTTTCTCTTTAATATTAAATGCAAACTTGAAACATCTGGAAATGTTTTCCACGTGGCATTTTTTTTTTTCAAAGTATTGCATTTACGGTGCAACAATTTATATCCTAGTTTTTATACACAAATTTGGGATTTTTAATAGATGTTCGTTCAGAATAGGTTCACACAACGCTACCATACACTTTATGTGCGCTTTAGGTTCACACTGTGCCAACTTTTAATCTGCAAATGTTCTTGGACTTTTTTGCATTTTTAAAGCACGCATGAATGTGAATCTTCACACCTTGTTCATTAATATTTTTCTTAATAGTACCATAATCATTGAAGTGTAGATCCTCCCCCTCTGTGTTCCTTCATTGGAATTGGTAATTACCAGCATTCATGTTAGTCTACAAAATCCCAGCCGTGACCAACATAAAAACAAAGTGTACAGTCTCCTGTCTGCTGGAAAGAAAGCTTGATAGGTACAAATTAACCAGCTAGCACAGGGAACACTGTGAGTAGGGAACAGAGCTTTTGAGCATGAACAGCTTCTTATCATTGTAGAGTCACTTAAAATGTGTGTTGCTGTAGAGTATGTCCTTGCTGAGATTGCTCTATTTTCTTTGGTAATGAAGAGAAGTCAAAAAGGTGCCAACTGGAGAAAGCATTTGCATTTCCCAGAACACTCTACCCACAGCTGAACTTCATGAGAGTATCATCATACAAGAATAGAAATAATTGTTAAAACAGAAATAATAATTTTAAATTTAGGTGCAGTTTGTGCAGATAGCTACTACAGTTAGTGCTGTGGTGTCCTATGAGAATTTTGGTGAGCTGTAGATGGATTTATTTTCATTAAGGCTGAATTGAAACATATATCCTTTGTCCTAAAGCCTTCATTAAAATGAAAAATTACAGAATCGTAGAATTTGCTGAGTTGGAAGAGGCCCACGAGAATCATCGAGTCCAATTCCTGACCCTGCAAAGGACAGGCCCAAGAGTCACACCACGTGCCAGAGAGAATTGTCCAAATGCTTTTTGAGCCCTGTCAGGCTTCCCTGGGGAGCTTGTTCCAGTGCCCAGCCACCCTCTGGGGGAAAACCTTTTCCTAATATCCAACTTAAACCTCCCCTGACACAGCTTGAGGCCATTCCCTCGGGTCCTGTCACTGGTCACCAGAGAGAAGAGATCAGTGCCTGCCCCTCCTCTTCCCCTCAGAAGGAAGCTGTAACTGCAATGAGGTCTGTTCTATAAATTTAGAACAGATCAGAAGAGAACAAAAAGGAAAACATTTTGTTGCTCTAGTACTTGAATGCAGAAAGTCAAAGCACCAGATTCTTCAAGTGCGTTTTTGTTTGTAGTGATACTGATATTTTCATGGCATTTGGAAAAAGCAGCTAGCTGCCTAAATTTCAATGGGGATTTAAGCACTCAGGCACTCAGCAAAATCCTGGAAGATGCCCACTTGAATGTTTGAGTCAGATTTTTAAAGAAATGGAGTCACCTAAATAAAATGGAATAAAATTAATTTCCATAGAGACTAAAGGAATAATATATACCAGGTCCATATGATTTGCAGTGATTGTTAATGAAATTAGTTGTTTTGGGGATTTAAAGACTTAGAGAAACCTCTCCTAAAGCAGTTGAACAGTAGGCCACTGCTCTTGCAGAAGAGGTTCTCAGTGTTTTTCATACATGTGTGTTTTCCATGAACATAGGCATGCATTTCAGGCTCATGATCCAGAATTTGGACTCCCTTTCAGAAGAGCTGGGTTATTTAACCTCTACTCAGAGAAAACGTTCGTTGGTAGTAGTAAGTGGATAGCATGTGCCTGAACTAAAAATATTTGAATCAAAAGAAATACTCAAATCTTGATCTCAAGTGATGTTCTTTCAGTTACTTTCTATAAATGTTTGGATCCTTCTCCCATAAATAAGGGGTGATGTTGCACAAAACAAAGAAAGAGGGGAGTGGGTTCATTGTAAATTAACTTTCCCAGAGTGGATCTGACTATAAAGCTGTAAGAATTAGTTGCTGTTAGCAAATCATTCCAAGAGCTGGACAAAATGTCAGTTTTCATTACCTAAACTTCAGGTTTACTGTTCCTCATGTCCCCTAGCACTATTGTGTCTAAAGAGATGCATCCACCAGTTTTCCTATATTTGGGAATTGTAAATGAAACATTTTATCTCCAAATGAAAATTTATACAGTATTTCATACCTACTGCATAGATTAGAGGTGTGAGAGATGGAGAGAGCACAGCAGTATGAGGAAACTTCAGGAGCATCTTGATCAGTGTTAATTTATTCCTTAGAGCACATTTCCTGGCAGATGGTCATGCTGCTGCTCCCCCCAGTACGTGTCAGGTCTCTCTTGCATGTATTTAATCATTTGCTGCTCATCAGGGGAAAAATTGTCATTTTCCAACCTGCCACCACCCCTGTCCTGCATCAAGTGCTTCCTGTCTTCCTAATTCCCAATCCCAAGCAGCCTCCCAGCTGCAGGGACCACCTCCCAGCCTTAACCCTGAAAATAAGGTTCCTCTATCACTGCTTGTTGTTAAGTGCAGAGGCTCTTTCTCACATTTAGATTAATTGCCGTAGTAGATTATTTCTGGACAGGAAAATGCTAAATGTGGTTTAAAAGGATGAAACTCAGTATTTGCTTAGTAATGTGTCAAAGCCTGTCTATGGAGTTAGAGTAAAAATCCAATGGATCCACTAAGGAAATGCTTTCTGTGGTGAAACACCCCATGCTTGAGCTATTCAGCTGTGCAGGTTTCTCAGAGGGACATCTAACAGGGAATTTGAGGTCCTCTTCTGCCAGGCAGCCTTACAGGGCCATCAGGTTGGCAGCCTCTCGGGTGCCCTGCAGCCTCTGGAACAAGTGGATTTGGGTCTTTCCCCTATCTATGGGAAAAAATCCAAATGCATGTTGTGGAGTAGATGCTGGAGACGGAGTTGGGTGTTCCTAGGGTACTGAATATCATCAGAGCTTGTGGAAAATAGAAACCTTGTTCCTGACAGTAGTTAGAGGTACTGGAGATGCCAATTGTTACAGTAATTGTGGCATCAAGAGGCACAGACCACAGGCACTCCCAGGGGGACATGCCCAGCACAAGGAGGAGTTGAGGTGTTGGTCAGCTGAAGGAACTTCACTGATGTGTCTGAGAGGGTCTTCGTGTGCCTGTGCATAGGAGGGGTGGTGGAGAATGCCTCCTTCCAAGGTGTCAAGAGGGCTGCTTTGGAAACAGAGCTGGGACCCTTTCCTTACTCCAGAGATGGAGCAGGGGAAGGGAACCATTCTGCCCAAGAAAAACTTGCTGCTGTTGAATTGCATTTTCTCGTCTCCATCAGCCCTTTGAAGGAAGTTTTGAGGCAAAATGGGTCAATCACTGAGCACCATGTCTCCAGCTGAGGATTCTGGGGGGCAGCAACAGCAGCAGCTCCAAACATCAACAGTCCAAAATTGTGTCTCATTCCTCACTTCATGCTCATGTCGTGCCACCAGACCCAAACCTCTTCCTTCCAGCCCAGCTGCCACATGCCCAGGTGGCTGCAGGAGTAGCCTGCTCATGGTGGTGGGTGATGTGGCCACTTTGAGGGGGAAAATAATAATATTTAGGCTACAGTCCTTGGACTCTGCGAGGCAGTGCAGTCAGAAGTCTTTTCACGACTGTGACCAGAACTGGATATGAACTGTAGCTTAAAAAATAGGAAATTTGTAAACTTGAAATCTCTCGGTTTTACCCTTTTCTCCTTTTGCTGGAAAGCCACACAATGAATGTATATGCTTTATCTTTCTATCCGACATAACTGAAAATCAGACTCCCAACTCCTTGGTTTGTATTAGCCTTTGTTTTAAAAAAAAAAAAAAAAAAGTTTGTGAGCAATATATGTAGCATGCTGTGAACGTCTGTTTTGATCTTTATAGTTACTCTTTAATCCATCAGTATTAACACCAGTTCTTTTTTGTGTTCCCCTTGGTACTTCGTATGCAGTGTAAGCAGAAGCTGTGATCGGCTTTGCAGTCCTGTGCCATGTTACTGTAACTCCTTGATTTTTTAGGAAGCACCTGACTGTGGGCCACCCTGGGGCAGGTAGCGTGCCCATACACGACTGCCACTTTTCGGTCTCTTGTACTATGTATAGTTCTAAGTAGAATAAGCTTTTTAACAGAATATTGATGCGGTTTATGAGTCACGCAGGCTGCAAGTGTCTGGTGTGTGAGAGTCTCTGTATTTATAGTTGTTGGGGTTTGGTTTTTTGTTTTGTTGTTTTGTTTTGTTTTGTTTTTAATTCATAAAGTAGCAAACTTGATAAACATAGCCACTTTAAACTGCTCTTGCTAAACAGACCCTGCTGTAGATAAGATACCACTGTAGATACAGGGAGAAGCACCAGCCGACCTCTCTGGACTGTGGGTGAGCTGAGCCCCTGTCTGCACAAAGCACAGTCCGAGCCACACGGCCACCCTGCGTGTGCCCACACATCGACCCAAAGGTGGCAAAGGCTGGGCCCTGGTGTCCATTTCAGCCCCTTGTGCCCATAAGTCTGCTGCTGGCCACCTCCCACTCTCTGCTCACCAGTGCACGGAGCAAGCGAGAGCTTCACTGGCGTGAGAGCGATGGACAGACCAGCTGCTGGACCACAAACATGGGCACGGCACTTCTGCAGCCAGAAAGCTTCCAAGCCTCTCTCAAGTGCAAAAATCAGCTCTTGATTTGCAGAGCCTGGCACATCGGGGTGAGAAGCAGCATTGGCTCCCTCTTGGCAGCCGTGGGTCTGAGCTTGGCTGGGGCAGCAGGCGGGGCAGCGCTGTGTCCAGAGAGGGGTTTCATTGCATCTCCCACCTCTGGCCCTCTGGACAGGGGGTAAATTGTACCCAGCCCAACCCAGCAGCTGTCAGCTTCTGGCCTCTTTGTGCTACAGCCAAGCAGGTGTTTTGGGACAGAGGGTTAAGGACAAAGCTCTGATAGTGCAGCTCCCTCCCACCACCAGGAGGTGAGTAAGTGTGGTAGCTCTGTGGGTCCCACAGTCCCTATAGCATCCTGTGGGCAGGTGGCACATCTCCTGTCCTGCCTCCCAGGTCACCACCTGTCCTGAGCTCCGGAGATAGGTCATGGGTTCCATGTTTCACAGGAGGTTAGCCTGCAAGGTGAGGCAGCTGCTAGGAGCTCACTGTGGGTTCCCACAGCAGCTTTTATCATTTCTTTCCTATTGTTGCTGGTTGGGTTTGTTGTTTTGTTTTGTTTTTTTTGAAAGGACAGACTGACCTAATGGGATGGAATTTTTTGTGTGTGACTTTTGTTAGTTTTTAAGTTACCCGACTTGAATTTATCTGAACAGATGCAGAAGGAACTTTCTTTTTTTGTGAGTTAAGAGACAAAAATGCATTTTTAAACAAAGGAATCACGTATTAACATTTTAACAGCAATTCATAAATCTGCACTTTTTATGAGGTTTTGAAAAATCTATTTATAGGTACGGAACAATGGGGTTTGTTTAAAACTGTATCGCATTTATACTTGCTGAAATTACTTTCATTGTTATCAGTAGGAATTTCATTGGTTAAATAAAATGGATAAAACCTGACTCCTGTTTGAGCCATCATTTGCCACATGCTGGGGAACACATCTCTAGAGAGCATCCTGTGTTTTGGGACAAATCCAGTCCTCGAAGTGTCCTTCCTCTCCATGCCTTTATAGTGGGTTTTAATGTATCTATCATTCAATAGGGAGACTATTTAATCTTTGAGGGAGACCGGATCAAACCCCAGAGCAGTAGTGGGTGAGAGCCATAAGAGCAGGAAGGGCATGTGAAGGCAAGAGGAAACGTGTGCTGAAGGTGCTGGTTCAGGGCAGTGCCAAGCTTATCTAGCAGCAAATTGCCCCCAAGTCCCCAGGTCCTGTCCTCTGCCCCATCCATCCCCAGAGAAGGGTGACTTAGTGCTGAGGGTTCACCAGGGAAGTTTGTCCTGGGGAAGATGATCATTTCCCCTCAGAAAGACTAAACTAGACTTAACACAAGCTGCAGACCTGGGATGTTTT